AAACTGATCACCCTACCAGATCAGTTCATGAACAGACTAAAGTGTTTCCCATTTCACATGGCAACAATAAGGCCATCATTTGTTGGTATGTCTTCCCTCTGGAATTCAACTTGCTGTTTTTCTGTGATGGATACCAAGTAGGGTGTTGACTGATTTACAGGCCACAATCAGGCTCATCTCCACTGTGTCTTGCCAGATTATTCAAGGAGTATGATGCCTCAGTTTCCCTAAACTGTACCAACTGTTTACACCTGTTGACAGCCTATTACCTCAACTCCAGTGACATTCTATTTGAGAGCTAAGGAACACACCACCATGTTTCAAAACGACTCTGAGATACTGATGGTAAATAACAGAGACCTGAGTTTTAATACTATCTCCTCCAAAGATTACCTCGGTGACTTCAGTTTGGGCACAGTGTCTCTCCAGCTACAAGATAACACAGTAACCTGTTTTACAGAGTCACTGTGGGATTAAAAGAAATTTTGTACACCCAGAGCCTAGATTTCTAAATGCCAATTCTTACCTGGTATTTTTGTTTGCTAATCCTGTCCTCATATTGTAGAACCCAAGGTGTTTTTGGAGTAGTTAAGGAGATGGAGGAGCTCCCATGGCCTCAGACAGCCATCACCAACTTTTCCCATGTGATGGGTTTTGCAGAGGTGTGAAAGAAAGCACAAAGCACGAAGAGCAAGGGTTACAGTTCTTAGCCTAGAAATGCAAATGTACCTTGCTTAATTTATGCTCCAAGACTATACATGGAGCTCTTTCTTCCTTTCTTTCTTTGTTAAAAGAAAAAATAATAATCCAAAGAACATATCACAGGGGCTCTTTGAAATAAGACTACAAGTAACACAGGGTGGTAAAGAAATCTCCAAGACAACACCCACTCCTTTGCGTAGAGTCTCCCGGAGGCTCCTGATTGCCCTTCATCAACCTGGCAAAAGCTATTGCTGCCCCCCAAGACTGCCTGTCTCTCTAGAAGCTGCAGGGATGAAAAAATGAAAAGCTCTCTATAGGATGCAAGCAGAGATGCCAGCACTTAAAACATGAGTGGGAGGGAACCTGAGGAGGAGAGAGAGAAGCCAAGAGTGAGGGAAACAAAGCAAGGAGAGACCAAGATCGTGCAAGGGTGAGTGCCTGTGCTGCTGTTTAATATGGGAACCCACGGGATATTTTCTTTCACTAAAGAAGTGGGTAATAGGTAGCCTGGGCAGATAATGTGGCCCCCTTTTCACCTTTACAAAGAACACATTAAGTAGACACCCAGAAGTGCAGCCTACTTAGGAGTTCTGATCCGGAGACAGGAATAGAATGCCAGTTGATTTGTGCATTAAAAATATATTTGGGAAATGGATGCAGACCTGTTGCCACTTAGGCTTGGAATAAGACAACAGTTCTGTGAGTATGGATGTTCCTAACACAAAGTAATTTATCTGTAAAGGAATATTGTCATGGTGAAGTCACTGTCAGCACAGCAAGCACCCTGCCCTGTCATCCTCATCTTCCTAAATCCAGCAGGATAAAAACTTCTGAGCCTAAAACTATAAGACCAATAAGCAAGATGGATGGACAAATATTAGGAGAGAGGTGTTCCCAAGTTCAGCCAAATCTCATTACTTTAGGTCCCTTTTGATGAGTTGACCATAAGTTAGAAAGAAACTTACAGCACAGAAATAGCCCACCACCAACTTTCCTGAGCTTCGGAGTTCTCCCCCATCTCATGGGGATCACTGGAGCAGTCACTTAATGGTGTTAACTTCCTCTAGAGACATGAAAAAATAGAGCTCACAGAGCACCAGTGATGATTCTACCAAAGCCCAACTTCAGTCAAACTCCAATCAAGGAGTTTCCATAGCTCCCTTACACAGCTTGGTGAGGGGTTACTAATTCCTACACAGCCTCATTGCAACAAGTCCCACCCATCACGGATGGTAGGTTCCAGGTGCTATGTCATGGAGTTCCCCTCTCATTTAGCCTTCCTCTTCCTATATACTCCAGCATCTCCCAAGCTCACTTGTAGCGAGGAGAGAGCAGGAATAAATAATGGTTCTATCCTAGGTGAGGGTCCCATGACTCTCCCATCTCTTCCATCTAGTAGGGGTTATCAATCGCTGTCATTCTTACAATAGACATTATCTTAGTAGGGCTCTGCTCAATTAGTTGCCATGGTAACCAGGCTACAGTAATCTCTGTGTCAAGATGGTAATCATGTTATGCCCAGAGGAACGAATCATACTACCACAGATGGTTAGATAGACTAGGGTCTGCTGGAGACGTAGTGTAATCCCCAGACTAGAGCTGGTATTCAAAAAATTGAAGCTATTGTTTTTATTAATAAAAGCCTTTTGGAATAACTCAAGTCACAGGCTGTAGAGTTTTCAAGCCCTGGAACACTTAGCAATCACATAAAGCAGTTCTTTATTTCTCAGAAAATGAAAGGGGCTCAGGCAAGCTCAATGACAACTCTGAGGTCACACAAGCCACCTGCTTCCCATCTTCCAGGTAACTTCCTCCAGGAAACTCTATCATTAGTGAGTCACATGTGGTTAGCACCCTATGGCTGAAAGACAGTTATCATTAAAAAGGACCTAATGGCTTCATTACATCAAAACCCTACGGAGTTCTGTTTAGAAACCCACTATAGGCAATCCTTCAAGAGTAAAACTATCTTAAAGACAAAAGCCAAGAGACTCCTACTTCTAATACAATTATCCTTTGCTTCGACTGGCCCAAAATGGGACATTTGGATTTTGTTACGTTTCCCTGCCTTATAACAACAAAATGAAGGAAAAAGCCAGGCTTGTTGGCACATACCTGTAATCTTAGCATTTGGGAAGAGGAGGTAGAAGGATCAGAAATTCAAGGTCATGCGCAGTTGTGTAGTGAGTTCAAGAACAGCCTGGACTATTGAGTCTCTGCCTTAAACAGAACAACAAAAAGCCCATTTTAAAAGAAGCTAAGGACAGTTGGTAAGAGAAAGGGAGGCATGGATGGATGGAATGGAGGATAATAAAAGCATCAGTGTGGGAACTCACCTGGCTGACTCTGAGAGCAGGTAGTATTGCAAGTTCCACAGGATGCTGAGAGCAGATGTCAAATCTTAGAAGAGCACTGGCCTGGCTTAGCAATTTGTCCAGAACTCAAATTCTTCCTAAGTACACCACAGTCACACAGTATAAAAATGATCCACTCAGAGACTGAATACTGTTTTGTTTTTTATTTGTTTTGTTTTTCAAGACAGGGTTTTACTGCATAGCTTTGGCTGTCCTGGAACTTTTTCTGTAGACAAGGTTGGTTTTGAATTCACAGAGATCTGCCTGCCTCTGCCTCCCGAGTGCTGGGAGCATGTGTGGAATAACTTGCTGGTACAAATAAAGGTGAGAGAATGGAGCTTGCCACTAGCTAACCATAGAGGCCTTTTTTAAGGGATGAGCCACAGCAATAGGAAGCAAACTAAGACACTGAGTGTGCTTGGTTTACATACATATAGTACATGGAAAAGACGTTGTGATTGGAATTTAGTTGAAGAGCAGCTTGACTAATTTGAGGTAGTTTATATTATTTAGGAAAGGGAAGAAGGAAAGAAGGAATGAACGAATGAAGGAATGAAGGAACGAAGGGAGGGAAGAGCAAGAGAAAGAAAGGGAGAAAGAAATAGGTAATGAGAGGAGAAGCAAAGGCAGAAGGGAAGTGAAGGGACTAGGCAGGCTACTGCTTTGTTATCTTCCCTTCCTCCCTACTCTCCCTCTCCCTCCTTTCTCCCCTCTCCCCCCACTGTTCCCTTCCTTCCTCATGAAGGGTCCAAATTCATACTGAAAACTCATCTAACTCATGAAAAGCCACTGTGTGATCCTGAAGGTGGGCAAGGGTTTAATATTCTCCACCTGGAAGCCCTCTCCAAAGTACCTCAGAACAAAATCCAGGGTGACCATAGTGCCTGGCACTTTGCATACCTGGCTGACTTCCCCGGGCTGTCAGCACGCAGGCTGGCAGCCTTTGGGAAACCATTCCAGCACCCTTGCCACTGTCAGGGCTGCTTGTGGGCTGAAGACAAGGAAAACAAATGCTGCTAATGAGCTGGAAACATAACACACTTGTAAGAACCAGCACAGAGATGAGCTGCGTCCTATTCTTGGGAAAGGCACAAGAAAAAAAGAAAAAAAGAATTGGCAAAAGACAGAATGCAGAGTCCTAATTTCAAAGCACTCACACCATAGCTCCCAGCAACTTGGGCTTATGATCCTCCCTTTCCGTTGCGCATTGACCCAGCCATGGTTCCCATCTGGATATGGAGAAATGGCACCACAGCACATGATAGAATCTGTAGTCTAGGCCATGTCAAGGTCAAGGTTTTGCATCCTAGCAGCCATGTATGGGCAGAAACATCCTTGTTCAACTGTGTTCAGCAACTACTAGCCTGATGCTTGTTGCCATGTAGATAGTCTGGTTGCTTGGTCCTTTAAGTCAGTATTGCCTAATTTTATCGTTGCTTTGAGATAGGGTCTCAGGTATCTTAGTCTGGACCTCCAATATTTTTGTAGCAGTAGCAGAGGATGGCCTTGAACTTTTAACCCTTCCACCTTTACTACCCAAGGGTTGGGATTATAGGGGTTTGCCACCATCCCTGATATATATATATAGATAGATAGATAGATAGATAGATAGATAGATAGATAGATAGAGAGAGAGTATGTATCTGTATGTGTCTTTGTGTGTCTGTGTCTGTGTTGCCAAAGAGGCTCATGGGATAGCTGGGTGCCATATGTTCTGGCTTGAGAGTAAAATAGATAGTGAAAAATATATGTACATATGACAGCCTAGTCTCTTGGTGGCCACCTGACTCATGGGGTAATGACTCCAGAACAACTCAACAACTCATCCTTGCCATTGGTAGGAAGCCACATACAGATTTCCAAGTTTCCAACACACACACACACACACACACACACACACACACACAAACTTGCAGCTTCAAGCAATAAAAATTTATTTGCTTACATTTCTTGATCTAGGGACCTAAAATTCCAGGTGTCAGCAATGTTGGTTCTTTCCAGAAGTTCTGAGGGGATCATGTGTTCGCTGTCTCACTCCTAGCTGACAGCGAATACTGGCAAGCCATCCTACTCCACGGCAATACACGTAAGACTCCACTATGTAGCCCCATCTTCTCACAGCCATCGCAGTGTGGCTGTCACTTCTCTTCTGTGGACACCTGTCACTAAACACAGGACCCACATTAATTCACACTGCTCTCTGTTAGGGATTCCCATTTCCAGCTGCTAACTTCCTTCTTGAGAACCAGAACATATTCACAGGTTCTAGTGAGACACTGATTGATCAGTGGGCGGGGGTAGGGGGTGGGCACTGAGCCCAGCATAGCCCGATTCCCCGCTCCTGTCCAGTGGTAATAGCCACTCTGTTTTTGCAGGAGAGCATCCCTACTTCTCAATTCCCACTTCAATTTGGGTGGACTTCAAAGATGAATATGAAGTGCAGGCATAATCAATCAATACCTAATCCCAGAAGCCTCACTGCATGGATCAGTGTGCAGCCTTATAAGTTTAATTAGACTCAGTTTTGAGCCTTCTTAAGAGGTACTGGAGATAGAGTCATTTTTTCCTAGAGCTATTGTGCATTGTTCGTGTAGAATTATGTGTGGGGAAGAGCTGGACTCCGGAGAGGGGATTTAGAAGACAAAGATACAAGAGGTGTCCTAGACCTACCTCTGCCTGAAGACCCCATGAGAGTTCAGTTACATGTCCCACTTAAGACTCTTTTACCCTTACCTGATTGTCTTCTGAAAGTGACTTTTTAAAAAAAGTCTGACTCATACACTAACATCCATCCATTCCACAAATAGTCTGTTGCCAATAATGAGCCAGGCAGGGCATTAGTCACCAGTCTGAGAAGGCCCAGAATGAAAGACAGAACTCCTGGCTTTGGGGGAAATCCAGTTCCTTGGGGGATTGTACAGATGTTGCCATGAAATTTCTGTGGCAAGTAGTAGGAAAACTACAGAGCTCCTAAAGTTGAAACTTAACTTTCCACAGAGGCATGGAGAAATATCCAAAGGGGATTGGAGGACTTGCTTACTAACATGTAAACCTCCGCACCATTGTCAGTGCTTTAAGGAAAAGACAAAGGTTTGGAGGTGTAGGGTTACAGAGAAGATTGATTACAGCCAGACTGGTTCTCTGAGGCCAGGAGAAAGCCTGTACTCTCCCAGAGGCACTTGCAGTCGTGTATTCATGGAAGAGGTAACAGTTCAGGTCAGCTCAGTACCTAAGGGAAGACAAAGATGGGAGAAATACAGACTCAGGCATGACAGGAACACAGGAGATGTCCTAGGAGGATATCTTCTTGAAACTTCTTCAGTAGGTAATTCATCTTGAGAGAGTCAGAGTCATGAGCTGGATAATGTCTATAGACAGAATGGTTCGTAAGTTACAAGTGTGTAGTGGATCGAAAATATGCTACTCTCTTTCCAATCATACTTTGGTGTAACATGATATATTAATGACCCAGAGATAGACATTGGGATTCAAGCTTCAAGCTGAAGATCAGAAATGCAAAGCAGCCAGTCACTAGCCCTTATCTTTGCATCAGTTCAGAACAAACGGGTGATCCTCAAACTGCTCCCAACTTCATGGCTCCTCAGATTCACTCAGACTGCTGTGCCCTCTTCAACTTGGCTAGAGACTAGCTGTCAGAATGCCGCCCTATCCTCAATGTGGCTGGAGAATGAATACCAACTCTGAAACCTTGCTCCTGTCTTATATACCTCCCTAATGCTGGGATTAAAAGCATGATCTCTGTTATTCTTCACTCTTGCACAGGCCAGGATGGCCTTGAACTAAGATAGAATATCTACCTCTTAATCCTGAGTACTGGGGTTAAAGGTATATGTCTGTCTTCCATGGCTTGTGACCGACTTTGCTTTCTGAATCCTCAGGAAAGTTTTAATAAATAATAAATAATGTATCACCACACTTTGGATTCCTTTCAGGACTGCACCCCTAGAAGAAACTGCTGTTTTGTTTTGCTTTGCTTTCTTTGTGGCATTCACATCCAAACCACCTTACATTAGTTGGTCTCTAGAGTCCATGCTTACCCAAGATCTAAAAGGCTAGCCTCTCTCCCAGCCAGCATGAGCATGGTGCATCAGTTCTGCTAACCAGGCACTTTATCTCCAAATACTGAACTGCAATGGAGTCTTGCTATCATTGTGGCAAATGTGTTCACTATTTCTAACAGAAGAATATGGGCTCTGGGGCCTGGGGAAGCAACATGGGGACCAACTGTGCTATGTCATCTCAGAGGACTCTGTTGACTGAACTCTCTGCAAATCAGCTCTTCTTACAAAATTGCTTTTGTTCAACAACAGAGATGTTTTCTTAAGATTGCAAGTGAGAACTCTGACTTTTAGCCACCTGTCTAGCCCTACTATAGGAAACAGTCAATAAATGGCCATTTACCCATCATCCCTCTTTATTCTTCAGTCTAACATCCACAATTTCGACCAACTACAGACTGAGAACACCTATGGGAACACAGAATCTGGGACTATGAATGTGCCTTAGTTTGTAGTGGCTTGCGTGGAATGCAAGCTCACTGTGTGCAATGCCATCCTTGGGCAGGTAAGCCCGTGCTGCATAACTAAGCTATCTGAAAGTGAGTCTGGGAACAAGTCAGCAAGCAGTCTATTTCCCTTGTCTATTGTTTCATTTCCTGACCTGCTGGAGCTCCTCTCCTGACTTCCTTCAAGGAGGGGCTTAGATGGTAAGATGAAATAAGTTGCAGAGAACAAACAAAAACAGTGTATACACATGCATATGCACACACATATACACACAATTATATGGAATGTATATGGCATATGTATCTGATAAATATATGGAAAGTTGGATAACATGGTTATAAAATCTACCATCTTAAAATACATACAAACTATTTTGCATTCAACTTAAATGTCTTATTTAGGAGCCTGAGAATCTTGTGTTATGTGGTTCAGTTATTCTTGGTGGACATCAACCAGCTAGGCCCTGAAACTCTGACCCCAAAAAAGGCTGGCCAGGGCATCCGCTCAAAGCTGAGTACCTGACTCCCTTGTTATCCTATCCCATCTCTTCTTTGCCCTCTCACCCTATAGAAATCCCAAGGTTCTCAATCCAATACTACTCAGAGCTAGCCCACCAATATTGCCTACCCAGGGCTCCAAAGCAAACTCTTATTTGTCCCAGCTACCTCATCCTTACATTCTCAGTGACGTGTCTCATCTCCAGAGTTTTATAATTATATCAAAAACCTTACTCTCTTAGAACTAAGAATTAGCTCAAATTAGTACAGAGTCCAATTTTACAAGTTTAACCTCTTTGAACCTGTTTCCTTAACAGAGGATTGCATTCAAATCGTTTAATTCAGACAGTACATTGGAGGAAAATAAGGAGGCGAAATACTATTACAGCTTGGCATAAAGAAATTAACTAGAAAGGGAATCCCTTGCTGTTGATTTTAATATATTTTTCTGTGACTATTATCAGTGGATTGTAATAATTCTTCCTGATGTTGTGGAGTTCAGTTGATCATTTTGTCTTTGTAACAACCAGAATCAAGGGTGTATCCTATCATCAGCTGGTGATAGCTATGACACACGAGCCAGAGCCATCCATTCAATGCCATCTGAGTATCTATTCTGTGCTGGGTGCCTTGCTTTCTCCCATGTGAGGCTCTGTGGGGGCTGGTTCCCTTAGCTCTTGGGAGCTTAAGTTCTCAGGCAGCCTATCAACAAATTTAAAAATAAATAAAACAGCATGTAGTAGATGGTCTGAATGTGCTAGCCAGGTGATTGAAGAAAGATACTCAGGGATGGGAGAGACAGTGTGGCATGGGATTCAGAGTGGGAGAAGTGGTCCTTTGGAGCTATGGTCCTGGTCCTGGCAGAAGAAAAGGAGCCATCCACACAGGAATCCCTGCAAATGGAATTCAGGGAACACAGGGAAGAGCAAAGCCTCCAGAGGAAGAACCCTCTTTGTGCTGATGATGAAGGGAGTACAGGGGACTTAAGCATGAGGGCACACATGGTGTCATCTCTCCCAGAAGATGATGGAGAAGCAAGCAGCAGAGAATCCAAGCATATTCATTTGTACCATTAAACCATATGTTAGTGCTTGGTCTCTCTTTTAATTAATTTATTTATGAATTCCTTTGTGTGTATGTATGCATGTATGTATGTAGATTTGTAGATATGTATACACATATATACATGTGTACATGGAGGCCAGAAGTCAACCTCCAGTGGTGTTCCTCAAGAGCTATCCATCTTGGTTTTGTTTGTTTGTTTGTTTGTTTGAAGCAGCATCTTTCAGTGACAAAGAGCTTGCTATAGTAGACTGGACTATCTGGCATGAAAGCTCCAGGGATTCTCCATGCCCGTTTACTCAACACATGGATTACAAACAAGTATGACACACCAACCTTGCCAAGCTTTTTACATGGATCCCAGGAACTGCAAGCACTTCACCAAGCAAGCTGTTTCCCCAGCCTCTTTATGTTTCTGTTAATGTGATTTCACCTTGTTTGACCTTACGTTGGCCTCTTGCAGGAAAGCACATAGGGCTTCTTGTAGCCTCGCCTCCACTTACCTGGTCATCTAAAGAGGAGGAATGCCAGACAGAAAACACTCTGCTCCCATCACAGGCCTCTCCTTCAGGCCCTCTTGGGGGACCCTCTGTGACAGTCTAGTGAAGACTTACTTGGCCCTTGGCCCATACTCTCCTTTTCCTTGGTATTTGGGAAGTTGGCTCCACTGCTGGAGGGAGACATTTTAAGAGAGGTTTCCATGGCAACTCAAACTTTCTCTCCAGCTGCTCATGTAGTTTGTCCCTATATTTTTAAATGCGCATTTCTTTTTGATCTGCTTTGGGAAACTTGCTCCCTTGGGATAACTAGCATAGAATGTCTAGGAATATAGTCTTCCTCACCCTCCAGCGAACACTCTCTTCTCATTGTGCTCCCAAGGCTCGCAGTGAAGAGCATTGGAGCTATGCTGCAGTAATGAATTGTTTCTCATATTTCTCCTCACGAGTTCTCTCAGGAGATCAGCCTTCCATCCCCAGGTGGTCTTTGGCAACACTGATGGGACATCAGGAGTCTTACAAAGCTACTTTATAGCTGTTGCCTGAAACCAGGGTGCGCCTTCCCTCATGGTCCCAACTTCTAGTTCTGCATCACCATAAAATCCAAAGATGCCGGCACTCTTTCTTATCACTACAAGTTCAATTCTTTGTCCACTGTCAGTATGTCATTTTAGCCTTCCTATGTTATATCCACTATTTATTTTTGTGCCTGGACTTGAACCTAGAGCCTTGAACCTCATAGACAAGTACTCTCTACCACTGAGCTGCATTCCCAGCTCACGAATCCATCCATCACTAACATGTTTTCAGTAACACTTCCCAAAGTGGACCGACTGTTCCTGACCTCCCAAACTAACTTAGTGTCTTCATTGCACTTTTTACAATAACAATGAGGTCATTATTTTTTCAGATATATGTTTATCACCTGTTTCTCTATTAAAATACAAACTCCCCAAGGAATTACATCTTTTTAACTTTTGTAACACTTACATCAACTGGTATTTTTCTGAAAAATTAAAAATTAAATGGTTTTATTAAGGAAATGGCATTATTTGAGTTCAAGAATGAGGAGGAGTGAAATAATGAAATGGGTTCATCTTTGTGCATTTATGAAGTGTAACTTATTTTTCTCCAAGGAGACAGAACTCTGAAATGCTGGGAAAATCAATCTGCATTGGTTGTTTTATGGGATGTGGTTCAAAGCAGAGACTCAGCTTGTTCCAGAACTCCATGTGGTGGTTTTCTGTGGGGACAACCTTTTGATATTTCCTTTACAGATGAGCAACAGGTAACCAGGACCATTAGTGTAGGCCTGAGTCCTCAATGGATTGGAAGGAGAGAAGCAGGATTTTTAGTTAATTTTCTGTTGCTGCGATGAAACACCATGGCCAAGGGAATTTACAGAAAGTAGAGATTGTTTTGACTTACAGCTTCAGGGTATTAAAGTTCATCATGGCTTGGAGACAGGGCAGCAGAACGTAGGCATAGTCACAGGAGCAGGAAGCTGAGAGCTTACTTCCTGAACCACAGGCATGACACAGAGAGAGCAAAGCAGAAGTGACAAAGGCTTTAGGCTCTCAAATCCCACTCAAAGTAGCATATTTTCACCAGCAAGGCCAGACCTAGGAATCCTTGCCAAGCAGTTCTACCAGCTGGGTACCAAGTACTCAACCATATGGAGTCCATGGGGGCCATTCTCACTGCAACCACCATAAGTACCATCAACTTACAATATGGCAAGCGTTTCTCATCCAAACCACCACACAGCAGAAGAGAAACTGCATCCTCACCAGGGCCTGCAGCAGCAGCTTGCTCCTGCCTGCATCTATGGATACATCTAGCCTTCATCCCCTCCTGAGCTGCAAGAGGGCCTCCTCTTCCTGGCCAATGCCATGTACCTATCCCAGGAACTGCACACAAGAATTCTCACATGGTAACATGGGTCTAAATGACAGGTTTCTCAGTTCTTATACTGAAATTCAGGCCCAGACACTCCTCTTTCCAGCTGTTCCTTGAACTCTGATCTTACAGGTCAGCATCACAATAGCCTGTGTGTGTTCAGTTAGTGCCTGCTGGTCTCATTGGAGGACTTGGGGTGAAGAAAGTTTATTGTTTGCCTGTTGATCAGTGTAGCTCCTGACCCACAGTGTGGTGTCTAAGATGTACTGGACAAGAACTCCAAAATACTGGGTTGCTATTTCATGGAGTTTATTCAGAAATTGTCCAAATGAAGGAGTTTGTGATATGGGATGTGGAACAAAGGTGAACTGTACTACTAAGCTTCGATAGGAGTCTTATCTTGGATGGCCACAAGAGAATTAAACTATTCATCCATCAAAAGCATTACTTAGAAAAACAGTGGAATATGTATTGTAATCCAGGCAAACCTGGCCCCATGCCTTGGGAACCTGGCACAGTATGCCACCTCTACACTCAGCAAGCAGTACCCTAGCTCTGTATGCAGGTGTGAAGGTTCCTTTAAGAGGTAAACTCTGGGGCCTGGAGGTGGTGGCATGTCTTTAATCCCAGCATTTGGGAGGCAGAGTCAGGCGGATCTATGTGAGTTTGAGATCAGCCTGGTCTACAAGAGCTAGTTCCAGAACAGCCTCCAAAGCCACAGAGAAACCCTGCCTCGAAAAACCAAAAAATAAAATAAAATAAAAAATAAAAAGAGGTTAAACTCCTCCGCCCACTTCCTCTCTCTCTTTGGCATTTCTCTGAGGAAGCAGCTGGCTGTCTCTATCTCTCTCCGTCTCTCCCTGTCTCTTTCTATCTTTTTCTCCTCTCTTTTCTTTCCTTACTCCCCTACCTTCTCCAATAAACTTTCCACAGACATTTTATCTGTAAGTCTCTGTTTCCCACCTACCTTTTGTCCCTCACCCACCATGGAACCCTTCCAAGGTCCCCTCTCTTACTATATTATTACAATGTGTTCTTCCCACCCTGTGTGTATACACTGTCTGTACCAGAGCCCTCTTGTCTATCTTTGTCCTTAATGTCCTCTAATATTGTATTCACATGCACATGCTTTGTGACCACTCTCTTCATGCCAAGCACCCCACCAGAGCACCAGTGACAAGTCCTCAGCCACCTTAGGGAAAGGAGAAGCAAGCAGTGTCCCCAAGGCGTCTCTGAGCCACGCTGAACCCAGATCTACATAGAACCTTGCAGTGATTCTCACAAAAGAGCTTCGCCATCACAATTCTAGGAAGAACTATGGATTCATGCGGGGCCCGAGGCATAGAAAACCTGAGCTCCAAGAAAACAAAGAATCACTTATTATGCAAATCAATCAGCACGGAAAAGAGGAAAGGAAATGACAAGCAAACAGCCTGTTTGGTGCCACCTGGCTTTAAAATAGTTTCCTCTCCGAGTTTTAAAAGGTGTCAGCTCATTCGAAAACAAAGGTCTCTAATCACTCAGAAAGTGTTTTTCACTCGCCTGATTTCACTTTCTATCTAGGCAACTTCCAGTGGTGTGATTGTACTTTCAGAGAAAAGCATTCAGGAGACCCCGTGTGCTTTTCTTTATTTCACGAGAAATTTCTACCTGTTCTGCCAAATGACAAATGGGCCATCGTTTGCTGGCTTCTTAAACCAGCACTGATTGCTTGCCCTGCATCTCCTGAGTGCAGGGGACAAAGGTTGGACCTATACAGAGAGCCCCACCTTAGTGGAGCCTGTAGTTCCTGGGAACACCAGGGCAGCTTATCTGCCCCAAAAATGTCTGCTCAGAATGGACACATGCATTGTGACAAACCAGGCTTTACAAAGTTCCTTTTGCTACATGAATTCACTCATCTTTCTGATAACCCTGATGAGGGCATAATATAAGCAAGACTCTCAGGACCAAAAGGAAGTAGACATGAGTTTCATATATTCTTTCAAAAACAGGGGTAGCAAGAAAATATGCCATGTTTCCTAAGGTTTTAAAAGGCAGATGTGTGCACACCTCCATGGTTAACGTTTCCAGTTCATTTGATTCACAACTTAATAGTGTCCAAATTGAGACTTAAGAGTTTAAGTGACATTGAAAACTGATCATTCAACTAAAAAAGATATATTTTAGCCCAAACAATGTGACTCTGGGGTTGGCCACCAAGCATAGCAGCTCGGTGCCATGATAATTATTGACTGCCCATGTCCCTTATTTTATTTCAAATGGCCATCACTGTGATCAGTTTGAAGATATAGAAACTGAAATGCAAGGAGATTAAGTGCAACATTAAAAGTCACAGAGTCTGGAATGCAGTAGTTAAAATGGAGACTAAATCACCAAGGGAAACCTCACTTCCCACTTGACCATGACCTCTCACTTAGAAAGAAGATTGCAGCAGGAAAAATGGCCTGTTCGAAACCTCTGCTCCTAGCCCAGGTGAGGGGTCTCTCACACTGAACTTGCTCCACAGGCTTACATAGAAACCAAAACTAAAGGAACATTTAGGGTCAGCAGAAACGGACCCCATTGACAGAATTCCCGTGGTATGTAAGAAATTGATTTTTGTTTATGTATCCCAGCAGATTCTGCAGAAAATGAGTCCCTTTCTTTTCCCAAAGGAAGATATGGGGAGAGCTGTTCTCAATAATAAAGGGGTAAAACAACTGAAGGTATCTTTTGGAATAACATGAGATCCATGCACGAAAAACAAAAGATAAGCTGGGGTGCAAACTGAAGTCAGTTTCTCCTGTACACATACACTCCTATACATGCACACACCACACACACACACACACATACACACACACACACACACATATATACTCTCACACATTAACACATACTCACACATTCACACATACAACACACACACATACACACACACACATACATACACTCTCTCACACATACATGCATACATTCAAACTTATTCATACCCAATTTCACAGGGCTACACACATACCCCCACACACATCTCCACACAGACATTTACAGAGTTGGTTAGTAGTTTGTGTATCACCATTATCTGATTACTCTTGGGGAAGGAAGATGAACAAAATACCCTGAGTTCTACAGACAAGTCAAAAGTTAATCAGTGGATTCACTGCACCTGATACTTAGTTTCTTCAGTTATTAAATGTCTATTATTGGCTGTTGTCTATAAGTTACTATTCTATTGCTGTGAAGAGATACCATGACCAAGGCAACTCTTATAACTGAAAGTATTTAATTGAGGGCTCACTTACAGTTTTATGGGATTAATCCATGCATGGCTGGAAGCAGACAGGAATGATTCTGGAGCAATAGCTTAGCTGAGCTCTCTGTAGACAGCAGGCAGAGAAGGGTGGGGAAGGGAGAGGAAGAGACAGAGACAGAGACAGAGACAGAGAGGACCTAGCATGGACTTTTGAAACTTCAAAGTCCAACCTCCAGTGACAAACCTCCTCTATAGCCACACTTTCTAGTCCTTCCCAAACAATTCCACTAACTGGGGATCAAGAATTCAAATACATGAGCCTATGAGGTCTCATTCAAATCACCACACTAAAAATCTAGTCAAGTTTCTTAAGACATTAACAAGGAAGGGGCTAGAGAAATGGCTCAGTGGTTAAGAGAGTTTGCTATTCTTGTAGAAAACCTGAATTCGGTTCCTAACACTCACATCAGGCAACTCACAAGTAACTGTAACTCTACCTCCAAGGTATGGGGTGCCTTTTTCTGGCCTCCACAAAGACTGACACACATGTGTGCTTATTCAAATACATACACATAAATACAAAGAAAATGAACATGTTTTCCAAAAGAAGGGTATGTAATGAGTACAGTTGCTCCTTTTGTAGACATTGACATCCTCAGGATGGAAGGAACTTTCAGAGTTTAAGCCTGTCATCTTCCAACCTTAGGCTTCAGTAGAGAAACACCCTCTACAGTTGTCTGACCTTGGGCAACAGACACACATGCTGCTAAACACTTAAAACAAAGTCCAAACTCAAACTCCTTTAAGCTGAAAAAGCACTCTGAATTGTGAAGAGTTACTACTAGGAAGAAATGATGTTTAATCTCTTTCAAGCACTGCATATATTTTTAATGAAGTTCCAAGGCCGTTAAAAATCATTCATGTGACTTGAATTCTATTTTCTTTGGGCAGTGCATTCTATACAATCCCTAGTAACATCCATCACGGTCTTCCTGAATTATGTTTGCCAAGGGGATGTCCACTGGCCCTTCAGGAATTCTCCTTTCTTGTTCAACAGCTTAGGCTGCATTAAAGTGGCTCTGCTCTCTCACCCAAAGCTTGTCTCCATAAACATTTGACTCACTGAGAATTATGGTCCACCATGCTATTCTTGCACCAGTGACCTCAACAGTATTTTCAGTGTCCCACATCTTTCATGCCTTACACATACATGTATGTTTATATAAACACACATGTGCTTGCCCACACATAAACATGCATCTTCACTGGAGGCAAAAGGCAGAAGATCTTTAGTTGAGGACGCCGTACTAAGATTGTGTCTCATCTTTTCACCAGCATACAGCCTTGGATAAGTAACATCATCTCTTTTTAAAATGCATAAGAAGGCTCATGAAAATAAAGAGATTCATAGGTAGATGGACAGACAGACACACATAGCACAATGGGTGACAGTTCTATGACATGAGCCTCTCTCAGCTGCCCACCATTCCTGTTTCTGAGCAATAGAAATCTGTCTCACATCATACACTCTCTGATCATTTGGAGGAAGGGTAGCCTCCTTTCTCCAGCTTCAGGGGAGGCCTGTAGACCTGGGAAGACATACAGTCTCAGAGCCTTGATGGGCATGGTCCTCAGTGAAAGCAAATTTATTATATAAAGAACCACTTGAAAATGAAACCCAGGGAGGATGCAGATTCCAGATGCATCATGGGGAGAGACCTTCTAAAGTTCTGTCCATAAGTGTATAAATACATGGCATGTCACTTGGTTTAAAACAAACAACAATGAAACCAGAGCAAAAGAATCCTAAATTAATAAATTCCTTTATTTCCTAAGTTGGTTTG